AGGGATTGCGGCACGGTCGCGGACCGCTTGATTTTATTCGAAAGACACATTTGAAAGCCCATGTGTATATGTGCTCACTCGACTGTAACAGCAGTTCGGCGAAGCTGAAGAGGCAAGTCATGGCCAGAGTGATAAATCCGCAAAATCGGCGACCCCAGCGGTCCAATAGCAACGTCAGCAACAGCCCGGCCGGCAGCTCGGTCGCGCAAGCGAGAGAGAAGGACACGAACACCGAGCTCTGGATCAGCTTGAGGGAGTATACGTGGCCATCGAAAGCTATCATCGTCAAGGACCTAGAAAGTACCCGAAAGTACATCCGTAACTTCGTTGCTGTACGCGACGCGGAATATAACGTTATATCCGATTTCAAAAGCAACAGCGCGGTATAAATTTAGTTCAGCAGATAAAATCTGAGATGTGTCATCAGATTCTGAAGCTATTTTCGAGAAAGGAAATTAAGTCAAGATATATCCTCTCGCAAGATGGAAATGCGATCATAAAAAACTAATGTTCCGCCAAGCTGAAGAGGCAATATATCGAATAAGGAAGGAAAAACGACGCGACAAAGCGACAGCGGAAAATATAAAGTTGCATCTCACTCACCAAAACAAGATTAGCAGAATGGTGTTCTTCGCTAGACGCGGTGACTTGAGAATATCGAAGACGTTCGCGCTTTCTGTTTGGGTATTGGTCACGGTCAAGTTTCTCTGTAAAGACGATAAGGTGGACAATGAGTGATGCGCTGTTTGCGTCACGGTTTCACACGTCTCACAGCTGTGCGTCTCGTTATCAATCTTACTTACGACAAAGACTTCATAGATGCGTGTGTCAGGGCTCTTTCTGTTGATCTTCGCTATCCGTTGCAGCTTCTGCACCATTTTGTCTAACTTGCCGTTGGCGACGAACCATCTTAATAGCGAAACAGTGTTTCTATTTCAGCGGAAAGTTTGGAGGACGAGGCTAACAGTGAAACGAGCTTACAACTGTATGAATTTCTAAGAGCAACAAGAATTTCTAGATATTGCGACACTGCCCACTTAAGAACTTTAAACTTTATTTAAATACCGCGCTTATTTAATTCAACTCGGAGAAATATGAAATCCTTTTACAACGCTCTAATTATAAAATTACATAAATAATTATTATATGTAATAGTAAAGTTTGTGTGTGTGTGTGTGTGTGTGTGTGTGTGTGTGTGTGTGTGTGTGT